GGTTCCAAATAAATTAGAACACTAAGATAACGATGCAACAAACGTTTGAAGCTGCAGCATAATGACGATATTCGACCCAAACAGATAGTTTTTTGTCACTCGGCTCGGTGTCATATGCGGTCCACTGTCCCCTCCCCTTTTTTTCTAACCTACGATTTGTTCTGTTGATTCAATCAGGACGGTGCAGCTTAATTTCGTTACTGCTCGCTGAAACAAAATGTGTAACATAAGAATCATTTGAGTACACCACGTACTTGCAAATTACTATTTAGTAGCATGATGCGCTCAGTCGAAACGAACAGAGCGACAGCCACACTGGGTTGATTCTCACCATCTGGGGCCTGGAATGGAGAAGAAACGGACAAGCATGAGGGACGAGAACCCCGGAAGCAATGACGAGTGTCTACGTGAAAGGAATAGAAAGACGTCGGACATCATGCAGGCGAAACCAAACACGGACAAACAGCCGCACATACAACAACAGCTTTCCCCTCGTTGTGCTTTACTCTGAACTAAAACAAAGTACTAGCTGGAACAGTCAACTCACATCAGAACCATTCTGATAGGCACGATAATAACAAGCAAAACAATACGAGGTGATTCATGCCCGAACGGACAACCAATAAGAGAGCGCATTCAGTTCAAAATAGGGTTCACAGAAAAAAGAGAACGCAGGTTGGGCTAGCTGCAACCGAATCAGAACAGCATACACAAAGTAGTTAATATACTCAGATAAACCAAACTGAACGAGATATCCGGTATTCATGCGATTGATGACAGAAAAGCGTACGCTATAGTTGGTCACCTAGTAGCTGACTCGGGGTTGAGAAAAATCGTATAGACCGGATTAGAAAGATCCATAACACACTATTGTCACATGCTACTAAACAATCTAACTCGGAATCCACGCTTATTGTACAGAAAACTAACGGGTCCGTTGCATGCACAAAAGCCCATCGAGGCAGCAAAAGTAGGAGTAAGCGTGAGGGTGGGGGATGAAGTTTAACATCAAAAAAACAACTTACAAACTAGTAAAACGCAGGAGAATGAGAAAGGAAGCGACAAATGATTGCGCAGTGAATCTTAAATGTTCACAACCAGATCGAAAACGATTGTGATGTCAAGACCGGTTGTTACAAACTTGGTGAGTTGCAATCAGCGTGCCAGCCTCAAATCAATAAAACGAATATCCGTTTCACAGAGTCAACTCATTTATGATGAAGCACAAATAGTGGCCGTTGAGATAAGAGGTAATGAGCCAGAGTAATGTATTAGTAATGTATTAGCCACACTGAACCTATTCATCAGCGTTTAGGTTCGGCGGTCACCCCGCCTCTTCCAAAGGGTACACTGGAATGTGATTGCGCACAAAAGAGGGAATTAGAAAAAACCATCTTGAAAGCTTCTCTGGCTGTATGGTACTAATTCCGCAAGCCTAAAAATCCTAATGAAGAGGATAGAATAACTCCAGGACCTCAAGAAGTCATCACAAGCGGCGAGCACAGTCAAACGCAAGTACAGGAACAATATCAATGACTTCAACACATAAGAACACTGGTGATCTATAGCAAAGGATTGATATTGCTGAAAACCGGCGAAAATAAGTGTAGCACACAGAATGAATGTGTACCAGTTGTTTGCGCACTTCGGATCATATGTAAACAATTTATTCCGATTAAGGGACTGCGTTAGGAGCCACAATTTAGTTACGGGGATTCGGTTGAAGGACTGTACGCCACGTGCAGACACAATTCCAGATAATACATGATGGCATTCCACAGCTAACAGACGATAACGATCATTAGGTTTTCACAAGCATCGAGATATGTGCTTCCGACAGTGGTAAATTGTTTATGAGTAAAGTGTGGCGTTATGATGCTTGAATAACACTGCGTGGTTTGGACAACGGTTTATGGAATTAGAGTCTAGCAACTCAACCTCAAACACAATACATTGCCACTGAGGCTAACCATGAGTGGGAACGGGTAAGCATTGCTGATAAAACTTACCTTGACCCGATTGACTGCCTCCTGTGCCTGGTACATGCGAGAATTTCGTGTGGGTTGCTTCTGGGACAACAACTGTGTGCTGCCCAAATAGCTCGCACGGAAAAGCACTCCGTGAATCAGAGTTTCGGGGAAATCTGGATGTCTAACGGAAACTGGAACATAAAGATGGCAGTAAAAAAACATAAATAAAAACCGGGTCACACTTATACAAACGTATAAAACATTTCAACGGATAATTCGGCCAAGTAAAATAACGAGATGCTTGACGAGATCAGATCACTCCGTGTTTCAGTGGTTTCTCAGGACAGCGCCACACTGAAACAGACATGCATTTACACAAGGTACCACAGTTAGTCAAACTCTAGCAGTGAACCAATGCGATCTAACTGCCGCGTTCGATAAACCGCCAAATCGAAGAAGATTGGCTGTCTATCACCTCTCAAACAAAGCGAAATAAGAAACCACGAACGGTGGGAGAGTAGGTAGGTAGGTAGGTGTTACAAGTTATTCCTCAAGACACCGCGAAAAAGCGTAACACGCATAACCATCAGAAACAATTTCCCCAATCAATGAGAGATGATTCCCAACAATAGAGCATACCATATCGTAAAAATGAAGAAAAACAACTCACCTTCGCGAACACGATTCTGACGTTCAGCCTGTGAAACGAGAATAGAAACGAGGGCAAACGAAATGCTCAGTCAAGTGTGAAGAAAACAATCAACAGTTTTAGGGGGGAACAGAAATAGGTCAAGTACACGCGAGAGAACATATTCACAAAATTGCAGATGTGTCACACCAGAAGAACTCTAATCTCCACTGCTTCGGACCGGCTCGGTGCTCGTGGTATTGAAGCAAATAAAGAGCAGTCCAGAAGACAATTGCCAAAATTTGTGTGAAAATGATAGGTAAACATGATTGCTTACGAAATCCACGTGCGAATGAGAACCGAAAGTGGGACACCTAGATCAATCAACCTTTGCACAGAACAAAAAAATGCTTTTGTGTGTCACAATCCTATTGCCCATGACTCCATCTCCAACAAACAAGGGTTTACTCTCAATAAACAATACTAATCCAGGTGTGTGTGTCAGTTACATGTCCCCGAGAATCCGACAAATCACTAACACCGATTTCATTAATTGTTTTGTAACAGTATAATGAACAGTAACTGGTAGGTGGGAATAACAAAACGATGCAAACCAACCTCTTGAATGGGAGTCCGATTTTTCGTCAAAACTTGTAGATAAACTCTTCAGAAAACAACTCAATAGATAAGCACACAAATTTGTCCAAACCAATCAATTTTTTAAGCGTGACTGTAAATGTTTGGCACGTGCGTGTACACAATGCTTCCAACTTAAATATACTACAACATAAACAGTTGAAAAACATTTAAATCCATTTCCTCGACTCTAATTTCAACCTTCCTGTCTTTCCCCTATGTTCATCTAAATGGGCATCTGAAGACAGCAACCAATACCGGAGCACGAAAGTGCACGGTTAATGGTTGTACAAACTGAAACTGAAATCCTATTGAAAAGGGATGCTACCCCCACTTCATCCCCAAAAGCCCGAGGATATCCGAGGGTGATCAAGGGCTAGTTCTTGTCCCAAGAAATGCTCCCATGGAGTAGGTCTCTTGAAGCATCTTCTGGGGAAGTCCCACTTCTCTACCCTTTCTTGGCCGGGGTATTCAAATTACAGTGGGAGTAGGTAGCAAACATCTGGAGCTAGGCCTGGTTGGTGAGCCACGGGCTTGTAACTCACTTCGGGAAGCTGGAAAGCCTATTCTGAACCACCCATGAGGTGTAAGGACTGCTTCAGGGTATCCTGGACGCGTTGGTCACTGGTCACATCCAACATCTTAGATGTGTGAAACACACTCCGGAGGGCGCATGATTCGACTGACTGGACACCGAACGCAATGGACCGCAGTCTTCGTATGCAGTCCAGCTATCTTTTGGGACAGACTTTGGGTAGCAAAAGGCTCCAGTTGTGAAAACATTCATCTGCTTTGACCTGGGCAACCAGGAAGCATTCTGCCCAGGGGCAAATCATGGACCGATTTCTTCGGTATGAAGACTATTGTACCGTGATTTGTTTCAGAAAATTGTGAAATACAGTAATGATCATAATTTTGATTGTGCTGCTTTGTTCCAGAACCAGACTCACATCTGAGAAAATCGCTCCTGAAATGTCCGTTCTCATTTCAAAATTGATGTAATGGCTTAGCTTTCGCTCTTCGGGTGAAAACAATCCCATTACCGAAATAAATTTTAGAAAATGTTACATGTTCTAGATCATCCCAAAATGGAGTGAACTTATAAAAAAAATTATCATTCAGTTACCCTTTGGTCAGTAATATCTTGTTCAAATTGATGCTTAACCTTTGAAGCCTCATCCCCTATTAAAAGCTTACCGTTTATAAGAAACTCCGCCAGGGTTATTATTTTATCACATCTTTTAATTGCACTTCCTTTTATTGATTGTAAAATGAGACCATCTTCAGGAACGAGGAAGCGACCAATCAAGGGGCTCGCATACAACATGCAGAATGGGGCCAGTCAGGCGGTAGTGATGGGATTCGAACACAAGTCCTTCGAGGCGACAAATCGGTGACTTTTACAGCTTGAGAATGATGATTCGGAAGAGTTGATCAATTTTTGATTGCTTGAAAAAGTGCAATATAACAAAACTACAAAACTCGCTTTGGTCAGACCACCCAACACGGCATTAATTATAATGTAGATGCATGTGACCGATTACCTGCAAGCTGGCCTCTTTCCTCAGCTCAGGGATATAGACCGGTTGATCAGACTGATACGGTTTTTCCAAGAGTTGATCCGTGTCTTCATCGCTCCCATAGTCTGATGATTAGTTGCATAGCAAAAATACACGTATGCCATCGAGCGGAATCACGACATAATTAGGGAGAAAGAAGACAGGAGAAAAGATTATTGTTGAACTAGTTATCAAGATAAAAAACGATCAACAACAACCAAAATCATGTATTCCCATCTTTTCATTCATTGAATATATATATATATATATATGTATGCCAACGGTAAACAGACTGACGCACACTGCTGTATAGACGTCTGATTATCAAGAAAACAGAGATACGAAGCAGTTGTCACGTTCGCGCAAGATGAGAAGATGATGAACGGTATTCGTTTTGTGGAAGAGGTTGACAGAGTTGATGACTACAAGAGTATCGTCAACATAACTTCTGTAGAACTGTTTTGAAGATAGTTTCTCTCGGGTTTTTTCCCAATGCTTGCCATAAAGATGTCCGCTGGTATGGTTTCTAGTGAACTTCCCATGGTAACGCCCTCAACCTAGCGAAAATCACTGCCTTGAAATTTCAAGGATATATGTATAAATATCATCCCTGAAGAGAAGCTATATGCGATTTGCAGATTTAGAACAGGTTTATTAGGTTGAGAAAAACTTCATGAAAATTGCCGAAGTCAGAGCGATTTATTTATAGGTCAAATTAGGGGAAAACCTAAGCAGAATCGAATCCAAAGAGGCGCGAATAGATGACATGATTTAGCGCAGTGCGACACCTCAAGTCACTGTGGCATTGAGCACACCTAAGAACTGGAAATAGGACAGGCCGAGTTGCACGGGGCTTTCAGTCATGACAACTTTGAAACAAATTGGAATGCCACTAGTATGTTCGTGTCTCGGGTTCGTTCGAACTCTCAACTTTATCCAATTTGTAGGTCACAACAAACACAAAGACAAACCTTGCATACGTGTTCTCAGTGCATAAAGGTTCACTTTCTAATCAGCAATGGCACATAAAGAAAACGATGATCACGGATTGCAAATAAAAAGGATAATGATTAGGAAAAACAAGGAAAAGATTCAATTGAGCAATTGTACGAAAAGAACAAAATGGCCATAAAAATGTACAGGGTACCCAGCATACGGCCTGCAGTGAGGACTCGCTAGCACTTGCAAATTGTTCATTACGTTCAGTTGTTGTCAATACTATCTCTCTTTCCACTTTGTACCTAAACGTTCATTAATCAGATAATTAGGGACTTATAAACAGGCCCTTCCCGTTCTCTAATGTGGTTCGCTTATTGATTGAAGATTCATCACTATTTATTCATCGGAACACGTTTTGAAGCCCTTCAGGGGCTGTTAGATTCCGAATGTAAAGGCACTAAATTTTTCTGATCAATCGAACCCATACAATGAAATAAACCGGGGGAAAAACTTTCATCATTAATCTCTCGTTCGTCACATGAAAAGTTGTCCAGAATGTGAGACCGCAGGATCAAGTGAATATATGTTCAGCGGAAAAAGGGGTTATTTGCCCGATGTATATGAATGACACACAAACTAAAATCGGGTAAGCAACCGATCACTTTCTACAAGGTTGTGCATTGATCAAACTTTTACGTTGCGTCAGGTCCTTTACCTGCGTCAAACCCACCGTCGAGCCAGCAATCGCAGTGTTCCTTGACCTGAAAGGAGCCTTCGACTCAGTTGACCGCGAAGCTCTGATAGGTTCCCTTCTTCGAAAAGGAATACCCAAGAAGTACGTCAACTTACTGAGGTCACTGTACTCACATATCGAGTGAGGGTTTACAACGAACTAAGTAGGCCGTTCTTTAACAGCAGCAGCGTTCAACGGGGCTTTCTTTCGCCTTTCTTGTTCAACTTCATCGCAGTCAAAATTTAGGAGAAAATAGGTATCGAATGGGTAGCTGAAGAAAAGCGGTGCGATTAAGAGCACGCCGATGACATCGTCTGTCTGTTCGAATGTATGGAGGACGGGCAAATTGCATTTGATAGATTAACAAGTGCGGTTGCCACATTCGGTATGTGCTTTGCACCTTCATAGTGAAAAGTGATGCTCAAAACTGGGTGTCATCTACTACTAACTGGCCTGGGATAGGTAATGGTAGATGACTTTTCCTACTTAGGTAGTTGCATGACCAGTGATGGTAGCGCAGCAAGAAGATAACCGCCCGACTTCCCAAGGCTCGAGCAGCATATGCAGGACTGAAACACCTTTGGCGTAGACGCGACGTTTCACTGAAGCTGGGAGGTCGTGTATCTTGTGCTAGAGTTCGTTCAGTCCTGGTTTATGGGACGCGACGTTTCATTGAAGTTGAAAGGTCGTGTATATTGTGCTAGCGTTCGTTCAGTCCTGCTTTATGGCTTGAGACCCTGAATTTGCGAGTAGAAGATATCCGTCGATTAGAAGTTTTCGATTATCGGTGTTCATGCAGTTTAGCCCGTGTTGGATGGAGCGAACGGGTTAGTAACGTGGAGGTAAGCCGTTGTGTGTTTGGGAGTTTATTAGGGGTAAACCCGCTAACTCATCGAATTTAGAGTAGTAGGCTTCGCTGGATAGGGCACGTATTGTTTATACCCAGCTTGTCGTCTGTCGCACCGCGCTTTATTCACTGTAGCCGTTCCGGGGTGGGGGAAACCACGTGGAGGTCAGCAGATGACGTGGAGACGACGCACGAGGAAACCCACAGATCCATTAGGTAGAGTAGGTGTCTCGCGCTTTCCAGGTTGGGTTCGGTAGAATTCGCAACTGGTTGGTTGGAGACACCGAAAGATAAAGCAGCGAACCGACAACAGTGGCGTACTTGTTGCCATTTCTTATCAGGTCAGAATGCTTGAAAAGGTATGTATATAGAGTTCGGTTGTGTACGCTGTATTGACCATAGCGGTTCATCTTCATTCCCTTTCCTCAAAGTAGGTTCAATCCCTGTCCACCTTAAATTTTACCACCAACCTTGTATGCGTTGCGAGTTTGGTAGCAATCCCTGAAGTTTGCTTCGTTGTACTTCGCTGTAAGATGATGATGACGATGTAAGGTTGGAGATTGCAATTAATTGACCGTGGGCACTGAACAACAACAAGATGAGGTTTTACACGATGTTTTCGTTTATGGATCAAGGTTATGTTCCACTAGACGGAGGCTGAAAGAACACAAAACGCTAGCCTGAAGAACATGGTTGATTTGGTCCAGTCGCTGGAGCAGGCTCAAGTAATATGGTTTATTTTCCGTGTCGGCCTACCTCCTTCTATGTAGTAATATGAAATAATACTAATGTTTTACCTCACAATTTATGAGTCGATCGTAACAGCGGAGCAACCCACACTTACACCTGCAAGGCCAAATTGGTTCTTCCCGGGTAGCACTCTTCATCCAGTAGGGAACTGCATTTACCACCTATGTGGCAAAAAGGCCACTTCCGCACAGTCAGCAAGTTTGATGAATCAAACCAAGTAAGCAGACCTCTACCGTTCTCAACCACAGCTCTATAATTCATTGGAGATTTATCACGCAGCCACCAGCAAGTGCCACGGGAAATAAAAGCTTTAACAAGAATACCCTTTGGCGCAATTCTAACAAATTTACAAACTAAACAACGGTGGGTATGGTTTTGAGTCAGGGGATCGATCTTTATCTCAACAGATGTAAAAGGGAGTGAAGTGTGAACACAGATTTTTACATGTTACAACAGAGACGTTACTTTAAATAATTTCAGTCTAAACATCAAGTACTTATAAAGCTTTGAGATGGATGAATATGTGCTTATTTCGATAGGCGAGTTAGATTATTGCAACAGAACGTAGTAACAGGTAGGGTGAACGGGAACAAACCATCCATTAGGCGAAACTGCACCAGCTGACTATTGTATAACAATCCAGAAGTAGTATAACGATAATAGATTGACAGAACAAAATGCGGCCACGCTAAGGATAAAGAAGTTCTCATGAAAAACAAAAAGATTGCAGTAAAAGTGATACGCAAACAAACACACCTTCTGTCCGAGAATTGGGTGCGGTGTGGGATGGAGATAGACTGGTTCGAACCGGATTGTTTTGTGATGCTGAACCAGGTGCACTACTTTTCGGGTTAGTCCCGGATTCACCCGCAGAATTCGGACGTGCATTCGAGCGTTTTTGCGATGCAACTGAACGAGGCCCATTCCGTTCGGTGGAGCTTTGTGCTCCCGAATCCTCCGATGACCGTGGTTTAGACTTGCTTTTTGAATGACCATGAGCAGCGCGGTGTGGATTCACCTCACTGATTTCGTCATCACTTGAACTATACACTGTGTTCGAAGCGGTAGGGAAAGTCCATTGGTGTGTCTCTCGATCGGTGGATGGAGCATCGGGTGAAGAACAATTGCTTCGAACTTCTGTGTGCTGCTTATATGAAATAGATTGAGTGTGATCTACATAAATTAAGAGGAAAAAAATGCAAATGTTACCGCTATCAAGGTGACCAAACAAATAACATCGTGAATCGTAAATAAAAGTTCAGTAGCAAACATCAACGTCAAGTAATCAACTAAGTTCGACTATTATTCGCACTTTCTTCGCTGTCTCTCAGCAACCCTGGATTACTGCATGACACGAATACCAACGCCACCAGTTAAAACTTGTCCTCTCCTCATTCCTAAGCCAGACATCATCTATCAATTATAATATGGATGAGGAGTCGCCTACAACGGGGAAACGAAGATGAAATTACGTAGCCGAAGAGAAAGAATATGCTCCGAAACCGGTTCAGTGCGAGGCCAGTACAATGAATATTACACAATCATAGACGAACACGAATCGAGAGCACGAACCTTCTGTCTCATCAACCTAGAGGTAACTGTTAGCAACACACCATCAGGTCCACCGCGATAACGCAATCAGAATTATCTATTTAATTAGAAGCTCGCGGTCACGACTAGTGGAACCAACCACTAATAATTATCGAAGAATCACCGTGTGTTAACAGGAAGAAATGTATGCTACCATAATAGGACTCTGTGTGCCCAAATGCACAAACCCTTTTTTGCAGTGGCAGCAGTTGAGATGCAGCTACGTGATTCCGGAAACACACCATATAATTTGGCAATATTGTGTTCTTTGTTCAAAATCGACAGGAATATGTATGGTTCCGCGTTTGTGAACACTGATTCCCCTCGAAGTTCCGTATTTTCCCCTACTCTCTTCGTGATATCCATTGATGAACTTTTCAATTTCACTCATATCCATGCCTTCGCTGATGACACCATTCTACTCTGTTCTTTGTCCTATCCTACTTCTTGAACCGTTAACCTCGGCATTAACAATAACCACCCTCTACTCTGCATCTTCCTAAATAATGATATTGGCCTTATTTCTGCTCGGGGCTGTTACTGTCGTGTTATCTTGAATACCTGTTAAACTTCTGATACGTCCACTTCTCCCTAATTTTAAGCCTTATCCCCCTCGGTGGATTTTGATACTAATGTTCTCCAATCCATAGATCCATGCAACTTATTAGAATTAGTCCTAGTTTCGTCTAATTCGTGGTCACCCTATATTTATTTACTTGCCTCTTGTGCAGCTCGCAAGATCGGTTTCCTCTTCCGCGCCAGACCTGTCTTCACTCCCACATCGCGTTTCAATTTAAAAGTTCAGATTCGCCGTACACTTGAGTACGACGGTCGTGTATGAGATGAAGATTCGTCCACCTCGGTCTATTCACGATCCGGGTCAACGTAAGATCGTTCGCCTCACTAACGACCCGTCCGTAACGCGCAACTTGTTTCACTACCCACACACACCATTGTGGAAGCTGTCAAACTAACCCCCGGGACTCGGAGTGACGAACCACAAAAATGGTATTGGGTCGGAAGAAGGCAAACCAAAAATATCGAGTTGACTTAACTGAATGATTCTTTTTGTTGAAAGTGTCGAATAAAATGAAATTAATTATCACCACATTAATGGAAGGCTGTGTTCAAAGCGAACAACCATCGCATAATTTGTTGATTTTATTGTGTACCTGGTCAGCTTTGAGTGGTCACTTTAGTGAACGCTGCACAACTTCAACATAAGAAAATAAAAGCATAAAACAGAAAAAAAAAACAGAAATCTTAAAGAACTATTGGGCAAAGAACTCACTGTTTGATGGGCCAGTTGATTCATTGAAGGACATAGGGTGCTCGATGCTGGCACGTACCGTTATTCTTTCACTGAAATCCGAGAAAGGAAGATAGAATTCAACACAAATGAAAGAACCGCAATACTCATGTGACGATAATGAGTGCCTGCTCTTTTTTATTACACACTTTCGTGTGACGAACAGTTTCAGTTTCAGTTTTACAACCATTAACCATGCACTTTCGTGCGCCGGTTTTGGTTGCTGTCTTTTGGTTGCCCATTTGGATAAAATAGCGAAATGAAGATTGGAATGTCGAAGCAAATTCAAGCGGAAGATGGGGAATACATATAGAGTGTTAGGAAAGTAACGAGTGGATGCATGAGCGCCACTGTTTGCGACACCCAGCC